GGCAAAGAGCCCATTCCTGGAGGGCGCTGGGCGGCCTATAATACACCCTGGGGCCATTTCTTGTGCTCAATCTCCTGTGTGTGCTAGGGAGAGGCCAGCCTTCGGACAGGGAGAGAACTGGTATTCCTCTGTGGATGGGCACTCACAGGAGAGATGTGGGTAAGAGGTGGGAAGGAGACCAGCTGAACACAGAGCACCGATGGCAGATGGAGTGGGGGGCGAGATGCCCACCAGAGAAGAGAAGTCCCAGGAATCAGTTACGGAAGCGAGGCTGCACCAGCCCGGGAGCCCCAGGCAGGCCACCTGTCTACTCGGGGCCTCTGGCACACAGGAAAGCAACAGTGTGCTGTGTTTGTTTCAAAAGTCAGCTAATTTCGAACCTCTACAGTCTGACATAAAGTCCAAATAATGTGCAGTGTCCAATTAAAATGGAAATTCTCCCCATTACTCGTCCCACACAGTGCATCTGTTGTCAGCCTGGGGGTGCTTGGGTATGGGGAAACAGTCAATAAATGCAAAGGCCACATCCTCTGCTGGGCCCCGGGCAAGCCCCAGGCAGCATTGTTCACTGTCCCTCAGGACACAGCCAGGCATGTGCCAGCCTGCTGGTCTCTGCTCCGGATCTGGAGCCCAGAAGGGGCTGGGGACCCAGGAGGGATGGGATTCACTGGTCTCTCTCCCATCAGAGCAAGCGTACTCCTTGGTAGGGGCCTGATGAGTGCCTGTGGAGTGAAATCAGGCAGCAAGGCCAATCTGGGGTCCTGCAGATTGGTGACGATCTGCTGCCACCTGCTGTCCATTTCCTGCAAAACTCTGACAACAACAGAGTCGCTAAATCCCTGGAACTGACCACTGGCTCCAACAGAGGCAGGGACACAAAGCATTGGGGCCCTAGTATGTCCAGGCTGCAGAGAGCCACGCAGAACAATGCAGATTATCACAGCCATTCCTCACCAGCTGTCACTGGTCGACCACGAAGTCTTTGCGCTAAACACGGCCTCTGCAAGCCCAGGGCCCTCCTGCTTGGCCCTCAATAGCACCCCCTTAACTGCTCCCCAATCTTCCATCCTCTGTGAGGGCCAAAATTTAGCACCCAATTACAAAGAGCCTCATGTGGGCCCTGGGCCTCAGAGTCAGGGAGCTGTCCTGTCCATACCCAGTGCCAGATCTGGGCTCTGAGAAGGGTGTCAAGAGATACCTCCTATCTAACTGATACAACAGGACACTACCCCACTGTGGCTATTGTTCTGGGCTGCCTCTCCTCATTAGAAGTGCAAGCTTCCAGAGGGTAGGGTCTCAGTCTGCTCTGTTCACATGAATCCCCAGTGGCTAGGGTTGTGGCTGGCACACAGGAGGCCATCACAGATGGGATGCTGATAGACATGAACTGGCTCTCCAGGGAGGGGGACACTGGCAGCATTTGCCAATTTCCATGGTGTAAACATTCCTACCATGACCAATCTCAAGCTACTACCTAGATGTCACTGAACACAGAGTCAGGAAGAGATGCTAACAATCAGCTTTCTGAGCCAGTACAAGCCACTCTAACACACTACAACACCCACTAAAGAGTTGTCGAATAAATTAATTGAATAAATGGTTATTTCTGTGAATTGACAGGGTCTTTTTGAGGACGTAACTCTAGGAACTTGGGTCTGAAATCAAGTTTCTCCAAAACCAAGGGAGTTACTGCTAAAGAAAAGGACCTCATATGTTGATTGGTGACAACTGTGCTGGAGGCTGACGTTGAATACAGAAAGGACCACATGTATTTAAAGCAAAAGTTCTAAACATTAGCTGGACAGTGAAAACAGAGCTTAGGAAAGGACTTTATGACACCTGCAAGGGCTCAGATGAGTCACTTCCCCTGTTCCCCAACTGCCAACTGGAGGGATTGAATTCTAAGGATCTCACAGAAATGATATTCATTTTACTCCCATCTGATACCCTTTGTTTTCTTTGTCAGTGTGTTTACAACTCAGGAGTAGGAAGAGAATACTATTTAATGAAAACTCAAAAAAATACCCAACTATAATACCCACCTCACAGATTATTATAAAGAACAAATAAGATAATATACACAAGTGCTTAGCATGGTGCACAGCGAAAAGGGAATGTGTTAGGTAAAAACCAAGGCCCCCAAAATGTTTGTTGACTGACCACTATAAAGGTCAACACTATTAAGCATATGTTAAACACCCCTGGTTATACTTCACCTGGTATTGCGGGGAGGAGCTGTGGGAGCATTTCCACCTGCTACCCACTTCCTCTAAGGCAAAGTCCATACCATCTTTCAAGGGTGTAATAACTGGTCCAGGGCCACAGCGGTTATAAAGGACAGAGGTGGTTCGCCAGTCCAGGTTGTTAGGCTCCAGAGCTCATGTGCCATATGTCCTAAGTGCCCTATAAACAGTAGCTACTCAAGAGTAACTCTGGGAGTAAGAATCATAGGCCTGCAAAATGCATGAGCTGGAAGGACACTTGGAAATCACCTACCCGGTGGCCACACCTTACAGTCAGGGACACTAAAGTCCAGAGACACAATGACCAATCCAGGTCAACCAGGACAAAGTGAGGACTAGAACCCAGGCTCCAGACACTCCATCCACTCCTCTTTCTGCTCAACCCGCCTTCTCTTGCAGATCACTGCAGCCTGAGAATGCTCCCAACCAATAGGTTTGAAACACTATTTCCTTTTCCAGGGCATGGGAGAGCAAAACAAGGCCCTCTGAGTCAGACTATAGGGAAGCAGGTTTCAACTTACTGCAGAGAAGACTTTTCTAATAGAATCAGGCAGAAGTGCTGTGGGAAGCAGGGAGTTCCCCACCATTGAGGTGTTCAAGCTGAAGCCAGGCAGCATTTAAGGCTGTGGAAAGCATTTCTACTCAGGGATAGAAGTAACACCATTCATTCATGTATTTACTAGGCTCTGGAGCTAGCTTCCTGGGTTCAAACCCCTGCTCTGCCTCTTACTAGATAAATAAACTTGGGTGAGTAAAGCAACTCCTCTGAGCGAGTGTCCTTATCTGTAAAGTGGGGATAATAATAGTATTTCTTTTAGGGTTGACATAGCTATATACAGATCTTTAGTCTTTCTACTGGCCTTTATTGTTGTTTACCCAATATGTCTAATTATTCCTACATGACAGCACCAGGAAAGAAAAGAGAGAATGGGACAAAAAGCAACTTTGAAACAATAACAGACAAATCATTTTAAAACTAATGTAAGGTGCTAATCCACAACTTCTGGAAGCTCGTTATATCAAGCAGAATCGTCAAAGAAAACCACAGCTAGGCACATCATAGTAACACTGTTGAAAATCAAAGGAGAGAATCTTAAAAAAAGCCAGGAGGAAAAAAGCAGCCAGAGGTTTTTTAAAAAAGACATATTACTTCCAAAGGAATAACAATAAAAATGTCAACTGACTTATCAAAAGAGATGATGACAGCCTAAGGCAATGAAATGACACATTTAAAAGTGCTAAAAAAAATAAAGTACCAATCTAGACTTCTATACCCATTGAAAACAGCCTTCAAAAATAAAGGCAAAATAAAGATATTTCCAAATAAAAACTGAAAAATAGTTATTGTAACACTCCTGCTAAAGAAATACTAAAGGGCATTTTTCAAGCAAAAGGGAAATGTAAATGTAATATTTATTCCAATTAAAATAAAAAAGTATCACACTGGATTAAAACTCCAAATATATGTTGCTTATAAGAGACAAGCTTTACATATGTACTAAACTATTAAAAAATCTCAACAAACATCAAAAGGATTGAAATCACACTGAGTAGATATGACCAAAGTGGAAAAGTTAGCAATCAACCAAAGAGATAACCAGAAAAATACCCCAATGTTTTGAATTCATCAATACATGTCAAAATAACCCATGGATCAAAAGAAGAAATCACAATGGAAATTAGAAAATATTTTAACTAAATTATATGAATATATAACCTATTAGCATATGGGATATAAACAAAGCATCACTTAGAGGGAAATTGTACCCTTAAAAGATATTACAAAAGAATTATTTAAGACCCATTTGATAAAACAGAAAATAGCAAGTTAAACTCCACTAAAGTAGAATGAAAGAGAGAATAACAATAAGAGTGGAAATCAATGAAATAGAAAACAAACATACAAAACCAAAAGTTAGCTCTCTGAAATACTAGACAATCGATAAACCCCAAGTAAGACAAGTCAAAAACAGGGAAACCCCAAATTACCAGTATCGGGGGTGAAAACAGGAATAGCCCTGCAGATCGCACAGGCTTTAAATGATAATAAGAGGATATTATACTTACATAGTTTTATACCAATAAATTTAAAGTCCAAGTAAAATTCCTTGGAAAAATACAGCTTGCAAAACTGATGCATGAAAAGATAGAATATCTGAACTTAAAATTTTTTTCAATTGCATGCATAATTTAAACTCAATGCTCAGAAGGCTTCACTGGTAAATTCTCCTAAATATTTAAGGAAGAAACAACGTCTACCTTACACTAACTCTTCAAGAGAACGGGAAAAGAGGGATCACTTCTAGCTTATCCTAGGCACCAGAATGAATTGCCATAAAGGAAATTCACCAAATTCTCCTTCACAAAACCCTGCACAAAATATTAATGAATTAAGCCCAATGATACATAAAAAGATCATATATCACAACTGAGTGGGTTGGTTCCAGGAATGTAGGATGGTTTAACGGTTGAAATGAACCACTGTAGGAACCACCCAGGTCTGTGTGAGAATAAGAACAGGGTTTTGAAATGGCCCACAGGAGCTGATTCGCTACCCTACCTCGGCCTCCCACAAGAAGCGTCTCATGCCACGTCAGCCTGACCGCGTTGCTGCGGGTGTGGGGGGCCCTCTGCTGAAGGCTTCTTCATTTGGAGAAGTAAGAAGGGCCCAACAAACCTCCCCGCAGGTTCCCTCGTGTGTGCTCTCTGGGCCGTTTTCTCCGAGACAGTGGCATCACCTGGGCGTAGTAAGCTCACCTTACGGGCAGAGGCTGGTTTCCCTGCCTTTTGAACGCTCTCTCCAGCCTCTCCTGGGTCGTCCTGGCGTTCCCCCCTGGCAAGGAGAATTTCAGAGGTGTCCTGTCGGCCTCTGGGCCACCGTCCACGGCTGGGCTGTCCTCCGAAAGGCCTCTCCACCTGCCGCCCCCCCTCTGCAGCAGCCCTGGGCTGGGCAAGCGGGGAGGGCTGCTGGCCGTGGGCCTGTGCTTTTCTGCGGGGGGCTCGCTGAGCTGGCCCAGGGGGCCCCTAGAGATGGAGCCAGCGCTGGAAGCCAGGCCCTCCGGCGGGGTGGGACAGGCCGGGGGGCAGGTGGGCAGCTCGGGGGCTTTCCGGCCCTCCTCCTCCTGGTGGGGCTGGGTCACGCTGCTCAGGGCCAGGGGCCGCCTCAGGGAGCGCTTGTGGAGGGACTCCTGAAACGGACAGGGACAAGGCAGTGAGGTCCCTCCCAGGAAGGGGGAAAATACTTTATCCCACTTCGAGCATTTGCCCATGACATTCCCTCCCCCATAAAGCCACTCCCCATCCCCAAGTCCTCCCCTTGAAGTCCCACCTGCTACTTCATAAGATACCCAAAGGTCACTGCTTCCTTAATGCATTCACTGCACCCCACCTGCACAAACCCCAGAGAAGGCCACAGCCCTGCTCCCACCCCCCTTACAGGGAGCAGGTTCGGGGGGG